CTATAACTTTTTGGTCCTTTTCTATAAAAAGTACAAAAAGTGAAAATCATGTCTCTTTAGAGCAAGATTGAACATATTCTCTCCTTAACCAAAGGAGGTATGGGATTTAGGGCTTCATCTTGCACTTTGCTTATCCTATAATAGAAATAGTAATACCTAGTTCATAGGATGTGAGGGTTCCAGGACAGATGGTCATTCTGTCAACAAGAATGTGTTCTTAATGTGCAACAATATTCTAGGAAAAATAGGAAACTGGCAAGATTTTACTTTGATAAATCCAAATTACATACAATGTAAATCATCTTCAGTAGGGCTCTAGAAATGATGGAATAGATACAATTTGAAGAAAAGAAAAGGTGTCTTGTAATGGAAGCAATTTCTAGCTATTTCTAGGGTCACACGGACTTAGAATAGAAGGAAGGAATGAAGGAAACTATAGGAGTGGAATAGGAATGGATTGTAACAAGACTAATAGGGGAAACTCCCACAATCTGGAGCACACTAACTTTAAAACAGACTGTCAACATTGACCTGCTTATCTCATTTCAAAACATATGGTTCTTCCCTCAACCAGAAATACAGGTGCCAAGTTATGCTTCACTGTTGGACTCTCCACTTTCATTAAATGTCATTATAAGGAATTGCCACCTAAAATGTGTTGTAAATATTTTTTGAAGAAGTTATTCTATCACTTATAATTCCCTCTATACAGTACTATGCAACAAATGTATTTTAAGAATTGGATTTAAGTAATATTTTATTCACCTGTGACATTCTATTACGTTTCCTCACTCTGATAATAGGAGAATGGAGCATTTTTCTTTGTTTTTTTTCTCTTTTCTAAAAATTGTAATGTAAGTAATAGTCCCTCAGTGACACACAAGACAAGTATAAGAAATTTAGAAAGTCCCAATTAATTAGTCATTCTATGAAAAAAAAATCCAAGTCTCTAGTTACTAAAATGTTAATGTTTAAATGACATTATGATCTATACTGTATGGCATCAGAGTAAAGACACATTGCTGTGCATTTTTAATTAATAAAATAATTTAATTTATTCAGTTATTTACCACAATCAAGAATATTTTTTAAAAACTTAGATTGCAGAAAGATCTCTTATACATTAATTTTTTTTCATAATGTTACTTAGGGCTGGCTTGGTACATATTTGCATATATTTTGCATCTTATCTTAATATATTAATAACTGCCACCATTTTTTTTAGTACATTGTTTTCCCTTCCTAGATAGGATAAAGAGAGGTTAATTATTTGGGGGAATTGCCCGTGAAAAAATTTCTCTGAACAAAATTTTATTAAGGGCATTGTGTCTCTTGGGGATTCTTTTCCAATGGCCACACTGTGTGCAATGATGGCACTGGGATTTTTTAATCTGTCTGAATTTTACGCCAATTCAGACATCTTTGGGGTCCTTGCCTGGCTGGGAATTTAAAGATGCAATATAATTCTCAAAATTTATTATTGTAATTATTACTCTTAGTTTTATTGTCTTAAGACATGTTGTTGACAATGTTCTGCTACATCCAAATTGACTGCTTGCTAATAGACCATTAGCTTTTTCACTAAGCTTCCAATGACAGACACTAATCCACTGACAAAAGTAGTGGCAAAAATGTCCCTATCCATTGTATCTGTGATATAAGAGTATGGCAAAAAGATTGAGTCACACAGAATTAGGGATTCTGCAAGGACACTCCCAGGTTGCTCATAATTTTTATTTTGGCCCAAATATCTGCAAGGTAATGGGGAGTTATGTCAGTTGTTTAAGCCATGACCACGTGCCAGCTTAATACCTCCAGATGAGGAGGGGTTACCAGGCAGGTTGGGCCCATTTTGCAGTACCCATCTAGCACTGACAGACAGACACACTGGTCATGGCAGAGTTGTAACAATTCAATGAGAAAGCTGATACAACAGGCTGAGGCCATACATTTCATGTATTTGTGTGAATACTGCCTCTTGAAAACTTGATGATCACAGAATGGCTTGGAGAAGTCTTCAAAAATAGCATGTAATTTAGCCATGTCTAAAGAAGTTACTGTAGGTTCTCCCTTAACAAGGGGATTGTGGGACACTGAAGGACCATTGCTCAAGACCTAAAACAGACAGCTACTGGTAACACCATCTCAGTACTTTCTTGGTTAGGAGTGGGAAGTTGGGAGGGCATCTATGAGTGACTATCAAAAAAAGGAAATGCTATTGAAATATTTGTATGGTTTTATAATCAGAATTGTTGTAAGGTGACCTGGATAGTTCTTTAGCATTATCTTCAGAAAAATAAGTGTACAGGTTAACAGAGGAGAATTTACAGGACAGGAACAGAAGGGTAGGGCAAGATACTACTTTTGGGGACAGACACTTGTAACTCTCCTTGTCTCCTTGACATGCGAATCAAAAAGGGAGACCACTGCCTATTTGAAATTTTGTCCTCCATTTTATTTTAGGGCTTAAAAAAAATCCAAAACTTGAAAATAAGGCAAAACTAATACAGTCTACCTTTTTCGAAGATGCAACAGTAAAGCACTGTCCAACAAGCTTACCCAAGGGTCGTTTGATTCACATACTCCCCTGAGTGGCAAACAATGGCCCAAAAACTGCAGCCAAACCCAGCTCTCCAACTGTTTTTGTATAACTGAAAGCTAGGAGGTTTTTACTATTTAATATGTTAAGTGGTTGGAAAAATAGTAGTAGAAAAATATTTTGTCACATGTGAAATTTATATGAAATTCAAATTTTAGTGTACATAAAGAAAGCTGTATTGGAATACAGCCACGTTCATTCCATGAGGTATTGTCTGTGCTTGTGATGTTCAGGAGCTCCTCAATTTTTGCCAAGCAAGATAAGCAAGATTGGATGAGCAAACCTTGGCTAAGCAAGATTTGCCAAGCCCTTTCCTAAGGGAAGTAACTTTGTTTTATTGCTTCTTATTGATAAGGATTCAGACTCTGGTGGGTTAGATGTTATCTCATGGAAGGTTGAAAAGTTACAAATGTTTTTTGTTTTTTTTTTGCTTAAGAGATGCAAATGGTATCTGTTCATAGAAAATAAAGGCTACAGTTTTATTGCCTTGTAAAACATGAACCAGTTTTGTATCTAATTTATCACTCTTATTCTAGCATTTCTTTTTTGTTTACTGTTTCAAGTCATTACATCTTCCTTTGAATCAGCTTTGCCATCCTGCTGTTCCTTTTATTAATGACTTAAATAAATCTGACAGGCTGACTACATATTTATCTGAATATTATGTTTTTAACTTTCTGAAAATTTATTTTGACATATTATTCTAAAATGGATTATTTTATTAAAAGAATTCTGTGGCAGCCATTGTGATTTCAAATCACCTATAGTTGACCAGTTCCATGCTTCTAAGTGTTTACATGATCTTTTCTCATAATACATAATGGTGAAAACTGCTGGAGTCCTCTTGGGAGGTGGACCACATTTTCCTGAATTACATGTGCCCACACGGAAAGAACAAAATAGCACCTGACAATCAGCTGGCGGATGGGTGCTTGGTTTCTTAGAAGAGCCCAGAAAATTGCTTACATTTGGTCTAGAAATGCTCATTTCTCCCCAGAAGTGGCTTGAGAATTACATCATTCAGAAAACCAGACCAAATTTGAGACAATTTTCTCTTCACAGACATCACATGTTTAAGAACAAATGCTTCCGCTCTGAACTGCAGGTTATAGTAGAAAAGCCCAGAAGTGTAGTCTAGTCCCCTCCAAGTTTCCAACTCCTCTGTGTAGGGGTCTTTGATGCTTACAGGATCTAATTTGCTTACAGTTTCTAATTTTTGGCAGAAAGGTAACGCTGAGTAGAAACTGGACTTGCTGATCACGTCAATGGGCATATGTTGGCTAAGATCCCTTACTTATGTAGCAACCATAAGACCCAGGGCATCCGTGTGGCATTCAACAATCCACTTCTGGTGGGCTTCCTCCTCCCCATCAGAGCGATCAGAAGAGAGTCCCCTAGAAAACTAAATTCTCTTCACCCATGAAGGACTCCAAGCACCCACCTTGCTCTGCTTTTATTCCTCTTTTGCCATTTCATTTTATAACTTAAAAGAAATAAATGCTTGTGACAGAAGAAAGAAAAGTTTACATTGTGAGAACATGTGGACCTAGAGCAAAAAATAATGAGAGAGCAAAAGTCTATACTGTTTCAGTAAACAGATTACGTCCAGGCTAACATAAGAGTTATATTTGTAATGAAATTGCACTTGCATTTTATTTCTGAGTTTTGCTGCTGTAGAGAAAGAAGAAGTATCTCCTTCTTCAGCCTTCTTTCCCATCCCCAGACTAAATGGCAGCATTTCTATAGAACACCCATTGCCGCGCATCGCTTTGTTGCAGAGAGCTTAATCCATCAGGGAAGGTTAAATTGGATTATCCCTGAAGGGAAAGGATGACAGCTTTGAGAATGAGGGATTATTCCCGTAAAGGGTTGGGGTGTGTGTGTGTGTGTGTCCCCTGCCAGTGTTGAGTGATGGAGTCGTAATTCTGGATTCTGAATCTAGGTATATTGGATGCTGCTCCAGGTAGGAAGGGGTTAAAGATGGCCTTTGCCTGGTAGAGCCAGGCTGGGAGTCAGGCAAGATAGCAACCCCTTAAAACCTGCCCTCATATGGAAGATGAGTAAACCATAGTTTGTAAATCGGAAAGATTATCCAATAGCGCGTTACTGTTTATTTCCCTTTTGTCATCCCTGAGTCTTGGGTCCCCCAAGCCAGGCCAGCTGTTCTAGGACTTAAGGAAAAAGCGCAATCCCCTGGGCGGTTCACAGCGGAAGGAATAATCAGCTACGCCCCCGCCCCGGACCCCGCCAGTGTTGTCCGCCTAAGGGACTCGCAGCAAAGGGCACTTTCCTTCTTGTGGGCTTCTCCCTCCGGCTGTAACTTCTGGAACGCAGCCGGGCCTGATTTTTGCAGCTGAGGCCGGTTAATACTGGGCCGAGCAGGGAACACTGCTCTCCCTTGTAGAGCTTTTGTGAAAGTTAAGTCAGCTAATGAAAGTGCAAAGCACAGAGTCTGGAACAATACAGCGGTCTCCGTTATTATCATTATCATCAACCCGTTAGTTACAACTGGGGCTGAAAGAAAAAAAAAAAAAAAACCCAGAGAACCGGAAAGGTCTGCAAAAGGGGCGGAACGCGGGAACCTGGATTTGAGGCAGGGGGAGGCGGGGGAGAGCCCACCAAAGCAGCCAATCCAGCTGTCCCGGGGAGGAAGAGGAGGAGCCAGGGCCCGCCCCGGGACGCTGCACTGCTCACTCCCGCGCCGTGTGGCCGTCCCCGCTGCAGCTCCGTGGTCCGCTCGGTCCCTGCGGCCCCGCGCGCTCGCCCACTGCAGTCTCCCCCGCGCAGACATGGCCTCGAGCGCCGCCGCCGTGAAGGTGAGATGCGCCGTCCCGCTGCGGCCGTCCGCCCTGCCCGGTGCCCTCTGGCCCTCGCCCCGGGGGAGCGCGCCTCCGGGCCACGCGCCCTGCCCGTGCGCCCCCGCCCAGGCGGGGCGGGAGTGGGGCGCGGCACTCGGGGCGCACTTGCCCCGCGGGGGGGAGAATACGCTTACTCTCCCTCCGTCTTTGAGCTCTGCTGCGTTCGCGCTCCGCAGGGCGCAGGCAAGCTCTTTGGAGAGAGGGGCAGTGGGTGGGCTGGGGCTTCACCCAGGCAGCCACCACGCCCCAGCACCGCTCTTCTCCTGGGCACTGCGCCTGGTAGCAGCCAGCAGGTGTCCCAAGTGGCCGGGCGCCTGCTGCTGCTGCTGAGACCGTCTCCTCGTGCCTGGCGGGACTCCCGCTTCCGCTGACTGCGCGCTCTGCCCGCGGCCCACGTGGGATCGCTGCGTACTTTGCTCTTTCTGTGCTTCCGGCTTCTTCCTCCAAACTTAGGCCTTCTCTGTGCTGAAGTTTTCCCCTGCAGCGAAATGCTGTGGGGCTTGTAAGACTATTGTTGAAACGCGGAAAAGGAGCCCGGGCTTCCCTTCCATAGGGCCGCACCCTGTTTGGAGGCCTCTGGCTTAGAATTCTGCTTTATTTGTAACCTTGGAAGTTTGACCTCAGTTTCCTTGTGCCATAGGCCCTCAGCCCTGAGCACAAGGGATCTTTGTGCGGTGGGAAGCTTTGTCTGTAGAGCACGGGTTCTGAGAGTTGCAGCTAGCTACCCTGGGGCTTTTAAACACCTCTTTCCTAGTGTCTGGTGAGAGTGCAGAATTACTGAACGGAAGGAAAAATTGATGCTAGAACTTAAGACCTTTTCGAGGCTGTTAGTTTATTATTGGCTAAGAACGCAGTTAACTTGTTTGAGTTTTAGACATTTTGGGCCGATGGGATAGGAAGGTCCGGGGTCGGTCTTCAAGCGTCTTTTGATTGCATACACTTGTCTGCAGTTCTCATGGAAGAAGGCAAATCCGTGCAGTCAGTGTATTTAGTATATTAGGCCCTTGCAGGTTTTAATGAGCCATTATGATAAGGGGGAAGGGCATGTTGCAGTCTGACTTAGACATGAAACTTATTTTGCCGTTTTGAAAAGAATCTTGCATTTAGCAAATGTTTATAGAGGTCTTCACACACACCAGTCGGTGGGGACAAGACAGAAAGGGTTTTCATGAAACTCATGTGCAGAGTATGTGACTTACTTGAGGTGCTAAATCTATAAAGTGGGGATTTTTACTGCAAAATTTGCTAGGAGGACTAGAATTACATTGTCTGTGTTGCACATGGTTGAAGCACATTAAGTGGTAATGCGTATAAGTGGGGGAACTGAGATTAATTTTGAATTATCTTTTTTCCAACAATTTAAATTATTGTTAGGTATCATTAGGCCGCAGCTTTTCACCTTTCTCTTATAGGAATGTACCTAAAGTGCCATTAACAACAGAGAGGTATGGTATTTACAACAGTCACGCTTTAATCTGGTTAGCATTCTCCCTGCCACGCAGTTTCCCTGTAAAATTAATGCAGTGCATTTAAGTGCAGAATGGGCAACGTGATTCTCAGAGGCCTGATGTAAATATTGAATAATGTGTATTTTGGGTCTTGGCAAGCTGCTGGATATAAAATTAAGAGGCACATGTGGTGCTGTGACTGCCTGCTGATTTCTCTTTTAGGTTATAACAGATGACAGCTTTGCTGTTAAGAATCCATGATGCTGGCACTGTACCCCCCAGACTGTAAGGCAACATTCTATGTAGCAAGCGTGACTTCCTGGTGTCCAGAGCAAAATGGGTTAAGAGTAACCATGTCCTCTTCCCAAATTATAAAATGGTGGAACTGGAATGTTCCTTCGAGACCATATAGCTACACAAACCCCTGCATGTAAAGCTGAGACCCAGAAAGGTCAGCTGATATGGCCAGAATTACACAGCTGGGCCTAGGTAATGGTAGACTTGGGCCTAGAGCCTGGCCTTCCGCCAACTAGATAGATGTGAGGCATTTCTGAAATCTGAAATATGGTGTCTATGCCCTGTTTTATTGTATGACTTTACTCACAATAAAAGGCCCACTTTATGGGCCGGGCCATCCATCCTTGAGGGAGTGCAGAGTGCATGCATGAAGTAGACCACCTCCCCACGCCCACTGTGCTCCCCAGGTATGGCTGTAGGAGGCACATTTGTGTGTCTGAGCCCCATTTATGTCACTGTGGGTGGGGGGCTGTGGAGCCAGGAGACCCAGCCTCATATGCCTTAACCACCATTTCTTTGCTAGAAAATTAAGCCCCTTGGCCTTAGTCCTCAACTGTAAGGGGAACACTAGTAACACCTGCTTTGGGAGGTTGTTGGATTTGAATACCGTAACATGTAACACACCTAGCCTGGTTCTAGGCACTCCGTTAACGTCACCACCACTACCTCCCTTTTTAAAATGCAGATATCACCAGAGGTTGGACTTCAAATTCATTCCCAATTTAAGAGGTGCTCGTTCTGGTGAAAAATCCCACTGGGTTTCGGATTGGCAGTATAATATTTGGTATATTGTTCAAAACTAGCTGTCGACAGGCAGAATCCTGTCAAAGTATTAATCGAGTATCTGCCGGACACTGGGATACATCTTTGAGTAAGACAAGGCCTCTATTTTACTTTGTGTACTAGTAGGAATGAAAACCCAACTGACATGAGAGTGAAACAACAGTGAGTCACTTGGGGAAGGGGAGTCAGAAAAGGCTTCTAGGCAGGTGGATTTTAAGCTGTGCAGAAAATCATATGCAAAAAATCTCCCCCCGAAAATTGTATGTTCAAAACTAATCACCAGTGCATTGGTTTTAGGAAGTGAGGCTTTGGGGGATGAATAGGTCTAGAGAATGGAGCCCTCATGGATGAAATTAATGCCCTTATAAAAGAGGCCCCAGAGAGCTGCCTTTCCTCTTCTACCAAGTGAGAAGGTACCACCTATGAACCAAAAAGTGGGCCCTCAGCAGACACTGAACTAGCCGTGATCTTGGATTTGCTGGCTTTCAAACCATGAGAAATAAATTTCTGTTGTTGGTAAGCCATCTGGTCTACGGCGTTTTGTTACAGCAGCCCACATGGACTGAAACAAGTTATAGCTGAAATGAGGATACAGAGCCACGTGAAGACCTGAGGAGAGAATTGGACAGCTAGAACAGAGGTTGCCACAGAAGAAGCAAGCTCATTGGTGTAGGAATAGAAATCTCAGTGCTGGTGCACAGTGAAAATTGAGTGGGTGCAGCTGGTAGGGCCTGCCGTGTAGGCCATCTTAAAGAATTTGAATTTTATCTTAAGTGTGTTAGAAGCCGTTAAAGGGTTATGAGCAGAGAGATAGCATCTGGTTTATACTTTAGAATGATTTCTTTGGCTGCTGTGTGTAGAATAACCTGTTGGGCAGGGGAAGAGCTAGATCAGGCCAGAAGTCACAGCGCTGTTGCTGAAGTGTAGGGTGGGAGCCATGGAAGTAGCGAGAAATACTGGACTAGGGGTAGGCTTTGTGGGTGGGGCAGAGAGATGGGTAAGATGTGGGGAGTGCCAGAAGAACAGGATAATTCCTATTTTTTTTTACCTGAAAAGCCCAGAAGATGGTAGTGCTGGTGAGTCATTTCAAACTGGAAGATAGGGGACCATGAGTGAGTCTTTGGAGCAAAGGAGGGTAAGTGTTGGAGTCCTTCCTCTGAGATCCTGCTGGTTAGGGGGCCCAGGGCAAGAGATGCTGAGAGTTCCTTTGCTCCAGGTGCAAGGTGGATAGCGGGTTTGGGGAGGGAGGAAGCCACCTCAAGTAAAAGTGATGGAGAAAGGTTTTTTTTTGTGGTTCACTGCAGTGAGAGGTGGTCCAGGCAGGGGGTGAGGATACCTGCCACATGGGAGGTGGGCAGCCGTGGAGAGAGGCAGTGAGAGCCAGAGTCCGGAGGAGTGGCACCTGCCATTGTCTGGGTGGACCTCAAGGAGACATCGTCCTCCAGCGTCAGCCGTGGGCAGGTGGTGTGCTTGACCACAAGGAGGCCAACAAGCCTTTGCACCCAGACAGAGGGCATTCTGGAGGGTTCCTGCAGCGTACTCTGGCTCCCACAGGCAGCTTCCCAGCTTTCACTCCAGGAGATTAAAAATACTGCCTTACCTTGTTAATCATGGTTGCTATGATATGAAGGGGATATGGTCCCTTTGTTGCTGGGTAGGGGGCTAGAAACATGGTGGTATTGAGGGGTGTGGGTGAGTCACGTGTCTAGACTGGAGGATGGGCCACTAAAGCTCCCCTTTTGGCTGTCTTGAGTGTGGACAGCAAAGGCCTTCAGACTGAAAATCCTTGTATGGCCAGCCGGAACGGGACAACCCACAGGCCCCAATTGCAAATCAGATGACCTATGAGCTATCTTTTTTATTTTTATTATTTTTTTGCCTGGGGACACAACGGCTTTTTAGGCAGGACATTTCCTTTTGTGGGACTATCTTGAGCATTGCAGGACATAGAGTGCATCCTTAGCCCCTCCTCATGAATACCTATGGCAATCCCCCCAATCGTTGTGACCCCATGTTGTATCCCAAGGAGAGACTTTGACACTTGGATGAGATCCCCTGGGCTTCATCCCTGAGAGACTGCCTGCTGAAGAGGGAGGGGCAGAGGGGCAGCCAGGCTTGTGTACTGACCAGGAATAAGGGCTTCTGTTGTTGCTTTGAGAAAGTTTATTTTGATTTTGTTTGCTTTTTGCAGGGGTGGTGAAATATACCAAAACAGTAACTGATATTAATGCATTATTTCACTTGATTCTCATCATTCTGTGGATTAAGTGAAAATCTTACTCTTACCGGTACAGATGAAGAAGCAGGTAATGTAAATTTTTATGAGCAGTGGACCCTGGATCCTCAACTGTGATTGTACTCATGGTGTTCCAGTCTGTGTCTCAGAAGTGTCCCAAGCAGTGGTTCTCAAAGGTGTGATGCACTTGCATC